GTTTGCAAAAATTAGGAAAGGCATATTGTGGGTGGCCCACTTAAGCTTTTTGAAATTAAAAAAAAAAAAAAAAAAAAAAAGCCATTGATGCATATGTGAGAATCAGTGGATAAATTTGTTAAGTAGTTGTCTCGTTACCGTTGGATCTACCAAATATTTCCAAGTATTGCATAGCCCTTTGAGTGTCAATTAAGTGTGGTAATCAGCGGATAAATGCCCTTGTCCTTATCGGAATACAGCTTAAATAATTTGCTTAAGATCATTAAGCTTTTCTTTTGCATAATTTGGAAGTTATTAAATAACACTTAAAAACATTTTTGAAAAAGTGTTTGGTGTGCATAATAAATTAGGCATCAACATCATTATTATGTGTGGATTAGCCTTGCTCCTTAAGAAGTTGCTTACAAAAAATTATTTTGACAAAACAAGAATTTGCGTCAATTAAAAATTCATTCAAAACAAAAACACCATTGTCAGTTAACTAGTGTTTTAATTTGTACATTTGCAATCATTGTTATGGAGTAACACAACATGGTCCAAGATTCTGATGAATAAGACAAACCCAATTTCTTTTCTGGTCTAATGTTTGAACAACTTTATGAGATACAACGAAAGTGATTATTTGCTATTTTATTTTTCGCTCTTTGCTTGAAAGGAATTGATATATACATTATAATATATATATATATATACACACACATTATTACAATAGTACTAGTTAGTAGTTATCCTTATCTTTGATTTTTTTCTTTCTTCTTACTGATAATTATTTCACAAGAAAAGTGAAAAGTTTTGAAGGCCACATTTTTTGGAGCAGGCGATAAGTGACAAGACACTCTTATTATACACATGCAGAGACAAAACTGCTCTAGTAGCGTAGGAGAGTGGCAAATTATGTAAATAATGGACATATGGGAGGGTGATTTGGAGAAGAGAGAAAGGGCAGTGAGAGAGAGAGACGTGGAGAGCAGAGGAGTCCATGGAGCGCGGTGGTGCTTCGCTGCAAGGCACGGCGGAGCCACGTGGAAATACGAGAAGGTCCTTGGAATTTGTGAAAATGTGTATACAAATATTATGGTTCGATTCGAGTTGAGATGTGACTTTATATGACAGTTTTTTATTGTAATAAAAAATTTAGATGTAACTTTTTAACGATAGCCTTTTATTATAGTAAAATTTGAATTTTAAACTCAAATGGGTGAAATAAATGAGATCTAAGTGTAACAATCTTCTCTTGTACGCGACCATACCGTAAACTAAATTTTACGTAGATCAGATTTATATAAAATGATGTAAAAATTAAAAAATTACGCATATTTAACGGTTAAAAAAATTTTATTAATAAATTTAAATTTTTAATATAAATTAAAATATAATTTTATATGATTCATAAAATGAGCTAGCGTTTTACTGTAGCCTATCAAAGAATCTGGCGTAAGGATAACCTCTCTCTTTCACTCTCTATCTCTTCATTCATCAACAATCCGACAAGGGATGGCGTAAGCTGATCCGGTTCTTGCTTGGTTTAACCCCAAACCTGCAGGGTCCTTGTATCCCGGCACACCACTTCCCGCCATTTCTTTATTGTTTTTCTGTCTGCTTGTTTGTTTATTATAAACACCCATGAACAAAAACACACGCAACGGACAGATCCACAATATGCATAATTCACAAACAGATCGACTACAATATTTCATTTTTTTTGTTAATCTACGCAATTTACGATAGGACATGAAAACATATATCTTAATTGTATCACAAGATATTAAAAAATAATGCTTCATTAGTTGCAAGTACATAATTTTCAATCGTCATATATGTATAAAGTATGACCATTTGAGAGCAATGAAAATTTGCCGACTAAAAATTTTGTCACCCAAATAATTATGGCAGAATCTCGTTAATAATGCAAGTTACATTTTAAAATTTAATTTTTTTACTTTTAAAAAGAATTGTAAACTATCATTGCGCCCTTATTTTATAAGAGAGAGTATTTACTAAATATTTATGTGATCTTAATTATTTAGTAAGTATTTATTTTCGTTTGTCCTCCTGCAAGTATTTTTGTCTCTGCGCTCACTGATTAATAGTGTTTTTTAAATATATTATTAAGGAATTCTCTAACGAAAAACGAATAATACAATTTGGAACCGATTAAAATCAAGTAATACAAAAAAAAAAAAAAAGAGTATAGATACATGATAATTTAACGAATGAAAATTGATAACATTGAATTTATTATGTATTCTTTCGTATCGTACTGTACAACTCTCCTTGTTCCTTCCTCGATCCGTCGATCGAAAGCTTCCAAATTTTCAATTCCAAAACTCGGTCGTCCTTTTGCGATTCTTTGCTTGAAAAATACCAAATGCGCACTGCGATTCCCAATATAATCACCACATATATATTTAAGAATGTAATAAATATTGTCCTATTATGGTATGAGATTCAGTTATCTTTTGTCGTACCATATAATTTTGTTTTGTAGTCCCATATGCAAGGCTCTCGATGATTTATTAGCCATAATGATGTTGTTTAGCAATATTATTATTTAATATTTTGCATGTAAAAGAATGTACTTTAAGCTAGTTTCTTTTTTTTTTTTTTTAATTTTCTACTCTTCCTGAACATGTGCAATGTGCAGCAATGTGTGAAACATTTGAGGATGGATTTAAATCTTATTTATTTATTGATAAATGTCTACGTTAGATGTAAGGAGATTTCGGCTTCAAAATCGAAAAAATAATTACTAGTATGCCTTTATGTTTTAAAATTAAGATATGTATTAGAAATTGTTTATTCTGCATATTTTTTTTTAATTTTGATGTGGTTTTCATTATATTTAACGGCAAAAATCGTACTCTACCGTTATAAGGCCCATATGTAGAAAGACCCTAGAAGTAATGCTTAATGGTGATTTTTGTTACTAATTAGTTGCATAACAAGCAAGCAACTAAATGTTAAATATGTGACCTAATTTACTCCCATTAGAGTGTCTAGTAGTAGTTCGTTAAGATGGCATTTAACTTGTGCTCTTGTGTTCAATTCAAGGCCCTTATAATTATCTCCATTTCTTGTCAACTTTTTAAAAAGTTGTTACACCCTTTTTTATCCAAGTTCAAAAACTCATTATTTTTATTTTTATTTTTATTTTCATTTTTCCTGAAAACAGATTTTGAACCTAGTCACCTTTTTATGGACAACTTTTTGAGTAGCGCCTAATGGGACTGATAATTGAAACATGTCCCACACTCTACTCAAAATTTCCTTACCCTTTTTTCCTTGAAGCTTCTTCAGCTAGCTCTCTCCTTCCCACCGAAAAATCAATCACCCAAAATATTCATATAAGATTCGATGTATACGCAATCTCATCTCTCTCTGACAAACAAGTCTTCCACTACTTTTGTTTTCAAGTGTTTTTCAATTCCCTTTCATGTTCTACAAGACAATAGGCCTTTTTGTTTGTGAAACTGACCTCGGACCTCCTGCTTCTTTTGTCCCACTCCCACCACACAAAGTAAAATCTTGTCCAGTTTAGGCTCGGCCCATGTTAATTATGGGCCTCTATTTTCCTTGCAACTTATCTTTACCGGCCCAATTGTGTCCAAGTCTCACCTACCCCGAGGAGAGTGCGAGGTAGAAATAAATAACTCTGGTAAAAGTTATATGGAGCCTAATTATACTGTACACTTCTCTCTCTCACGAATGTTTCAAGGGTATCTTAGGTATTTTATATATCATGTATTTTTCTGTCTTAGTATTTGTATCCTGAGAAATATTAGCATCACTCTTTTTATCACTCTCCTCTCTGTATTCACTATTTAACATATGAACTTTTTATATTATATAAAGAATTTTTAAGCGGTTAGTTTGCAATTTGTAGAGAAAAATGAAATACTATTGTGAGATGAGTGCGTGAAAAAGTATACCGGATACGTAGTTCTCGTATTGAAAGTGAATCACTACAAAAGTTTACTCTATTTTTTTGATATTGCTATTAAGTAGAGATTAGGGGTTAATTCATATCATGTATTTTCTGTCCCATACTGCTGAGGATTTGACATGTTTTTGCAGAAGGAATTGGTTTATTTTATAGAAGCAAAACATGGTTGGCAAGGCAAATAGTGAAGCCCACCAACCCGGCAAAAAGTCATTACACTAGAAATTATGTAAGATTCTGAGTATCAGACAAGCTCTGAAGAGAATCCGATCTTGAAACACATTGTGCTAGATTTATAAAGCCTCAAAAAAAAAAAAAGAGAATTCCCGAAGCCAGACAATATCTGCCATGGTTATCTCTGATCCAATTCACAAGTTGCTCATTGTCATTACTATGAAAGTTCCTTGTCAATGCACTTTTCCCGTGCACAGTTGTCATGGCCGACTTTTGGCCCCTCACCAAGATCCTCTCTTGGTCAAACCCAAAAGGCCAGTATGTGCCACCCCATTTGCAAATTGTTTTTTCATTTTCAAAGTAGTACTCAATTATCATTAAGAAAGTACTAATCATTAAATAATGCACATGTCTTTAACGAATGAAGGTCCTCTTTTCTCTATTTAAGAAAAAAAGACTAATAATTATTAAACTGAAAGAATTCAGACACACTAAACCCTGCATACCACATGCTTGTTCATTGAAAGAAGAAAGAATTATTGGCAATTAATCATAGTTTTGGTTTGATTTTTTTGGAACATTTTACATCAATGTCACATCTCTTGTATGCCCAGGCAAGAGCAAGCTATTTTGACTGCCCGGGTCAAAGTTCACTTATTAAGGAGAGTCAGGGGCTGGGGCTTGGTAATCGTTCAGGTAGACATGATAGCTAAAATGAAGAATTTGATGAAGCTGCGGCCATGGACTTGGATCTACCAAATGATAAGAATGCCTTTGAGATTCAATCAGAGACCACTTTTGCCTCGGTTGTATGTAAACCCCAACCGAGGACTGATCTGATCCCTGTAAGGAGTTTGGATTCCAGAGAAGTCCAGTAAGTTGGCCATTATCCAGGCTCTTTCTTTCACCTTGAAAACACAAATTAAAATGCACTTGGAAGATTGTTCAAGGGTCCGACGGGCCTCAAGTGATTTGTTAATCGATCAAGCACGACGTATATCCTACTTGAAAGTTGGTGTAGTTTGTCATTAGCTGTGAATTTGTGAACGCAACCATTGATTTCAACGAAGCTAATTGCTTTACACTTGATGACCCCACCATCTTTCATCAGTTTCCTAATGTTTTTCACATCTTCCCATCTTTGAGCTTCACAAAATATGTTCAAAAGAAGGACGTACAGTCCAGAACTGTGTGGTTCTAACTCGAACAGCTGTTTCAGTATTTGCTTTCCAATCTCTACATGGCCATGGATTCTACATGCACCAAGTAAAGCACCCCAAACAACAACATCAGGCTTCATTGGCATTCTTCCTATCAGTCTAACAGCTTCTTCTAAGAGGCCGCCTCGCCCCAGAAGATCGACCATGCAAGTGTAGTGCTCAAGTTCAGGTGAAATCTTGTAAAAAGAATTCATTCTGTCAAAGTAATATCTACCAATATCTACAAGACCGCTGTGACTACAGGCTGAAAGCAATCCGGTGAAAGTGAACTTGTCTGGCCAGATTCCATGCCCTTGCATCTCTTCAAATTTCTCGATTGCTTCTAGTCCACAACCGTGCAATGCAAGGGCCCCGACAATAACATTCCATGAAACTAAATTCCTTCTGGGTGCTGTGAGAAAATGATGAATAGCAGTCTGAAGCGCACCGCATTTTGCGTACATGTCTATAAGGGAGTTAGAAAGAGTAATAGTGAGGGCTATATTGCTATTGCACAAGTATTTGTGGATTTCCCTTCCAACTACCAAATCACCAATTTGGCTACAGGCTGATAGAACGCAAACCAAGGTAGCCTCATCAGGAAAAACATTAGAGATACGCATTTCTTGGAAAAGATCCAAAGCTTCCTTAAATTGACCTTCTCGGACATAACACGAGATCATTGCATTCCACGAAACCACATTCTTCACAGGCATTTGATCGAAAAACTCCTTGGCAGATTCAACCAAACCGTTCTTCGCATATGCAGTAACGACGGAGGTCCATGAAACCACATTTTTATCAGACATTCGATCAAAAATAGTTTGCGCAGACTGCAAGTTCCCACACTTAGCATACATATCCAATAGAGCATTTCTCACAATTTGATCAATCTCAATTCCAGAAATTTCAACATAAAGATGCACAAATCTACCGAAATCGAGATCACAACTCTGTGAACAAACAGAGAGCAAATGAACAAAAGTGAACTTATCAGGCCTCATTCCTAATTCTCTCATCTCTTGAAACAACCAAAACGCCTCCCCGCAAAATCCCACTCTAGAATACCCGCCAATCATCGTATTCCATGAAACCAGTGTCCTCTCGTAAATTTCATCAAACACCTGGCGAGCACATTTAATCAACCCAGAGACAACATAAACATTCATGAGAGCATTCTGCACACAAACTTGAGACCCAATTCCTAGTTTAACAGCTTGGCCATGAACAACCACCGCTTCCCAATACGCCGACATTCCAGCGCAAACCTTAAGAACAAACGGCAAAGTAAATTCGTTCGGAGAAAGTCCCGAACCGGTCATTCTCCGGTACAATAGCAAAGACGTTTCTGGGTCATCACTGTTTGAGTACCCCCTTATGAGACTATTGTACATGAACTTATTGGGTTCTTGAATCCGGTCGAACACAAGCCGGGCGTATCGGAGATCGCCGGTGTCGGAAACGGCGCAGAAAGATATAAACTTTCCGAGCGTGAGGATTTCTTTTGAGAGGCCGTGGATGATGATTTGGGCATGGATTTGCTTGAGTTCTCTCATGGAGGAGCATTTTTCTAAGAGATTGTGAAGGGATTGGTGAATAGGGGTTTTGAATTGGTGAGTGAAATGGTTGGGTTTGGTTGTAGAGAGAGTTGTGAATAGAGAACGAAGAGGGAAGCAGTTGTTAAGGCGGGAAGCAACGGTCAAATATTTGAGAGTAATGAGCATTATGCGTTAGGCATTTGGTTGATTGTGTTCCAAGGGAATATAAATATGACCTTCTTTTTACCCAGAAAAAAAAATCCCCTGATTCTATCTATAATCTATAATCTATATTTATAATCCATAATCTATGATATATAACCTATAATCTATAATCTATAAATACATAAGAAGATAAAATTCCTTTACTATTCATATAAATACAAAAACACTACTTAAACTTTAGTTTCTCTATTTTATCTTTTGTGAGTTTTTTTTTTCTTTTCCATCTTCTCCTTTTCTTTTACTTTTTTCTTCCAAAATTTTATATTTTTCATTCTTGCCCTTACTTCTAACTTTTCTTCTTTCACTAATTTTTTTTGATATTATCCTACTTAGATATTTCTTTTCAGTGGTGCCTTAACAATTATTTATTTCTTCATTTTAGTCCTTTTTTCAACCAATTTTTTATTTTTATCTTGAAATTTAATTATCTTTCATTTTTTTCCTTTTGTCCTAGAACTTTTTATTTCTTCATTTTGATCCTTTTTTTTTTATTTTTACCTTTTTCTTAATTCTTGCACTGAACTTTATTTTTTTGCTTTCATTACTTTTACCCTAAAACTTATTTATTTATACTATATTTCTCTTCTTACCTTTTTATTTTAGCCATGAAATTTTTTTTTCCCGTTTTGATTCCTTTTACCCTTAAACTTATTTATTTCTTCATTTTGGTCTTTTTTTATTATTTTTGCCTCTAAAACTTTATCTTTTTTGTTTTGGTCCCTTTTTTTTGTTACTTTTTTTTTTAATTTTTGCCTCTAAAACTTTATCCTTTTTTTTTTTTTTCGTTTTGGTCCATTTTACCCTGAAGCTTATTTATTTGTTTTTTGGGCCTTTTCTTACCTTTTTTGGGGCAATTTTTTAAAATATCCATTGAAATGGCACTTCTTTTTATTTATACCTTTTAATATTAGCCCATATATTACCATTATCCTAGAACTAGTCAAGAGATATAATTTTTTAAAAATACTAGTTTTAGTAAGTCAAGTAAATAAGAAGTTAGAATATATTACCGTGTTTGGAATTGTTCTTGTTTTTATTTTTCACATTTTTCGAGAACGAATAAATGAAAACAATTCTAAAACGGCGTTTGGAACAATTAAAGACAATAAACAAAAATGAAAATTATTTTTTGGTTTAGTATAAAATGAGAGAAAAATAAAAAATGACTTTTAGTCGTTTTTTATTTTTTATTTTCATTTTCTCCTCTCTCAAGCAGAGAGAGAGACATTAATGAGTTTTTTTATACTGAAAATAATCTCTTGATAAAACTATCAAAAACATTTTCAAAAATAATTTTTGTTTAAGATTGAAAATATTTTCATTTCTATTTTCATATAAAAAATAAAATCATTATGGAATGAGTTCTAAGCCCACCCTATTATTTTCTCTGTTTTTTTTTTTTTTTTTTTTTTCACTGAAATCTTGCAAGCCCGCTTCTTCGGCTTGGTGATAGGCCGAATTCGCATAAGGATGAATCCTGGGTGGGTCTTATGCTTCTGGCCCGTGGCCCGGCCTGTTGGGAAAAAATACATTAAAAAAAAAGAGATGTTGATAAATATGAGTCTTTCATTTTTACCTTTGATACCATTTTTAGTTAAATAACTATATTAACAAAAGATTGATACAATTTTTAGTTAAATAATTATATTAATAAAAAAGTATTAATTAAGAGTAAGGATAAGAATCCAAACTCATTCAAGTTTAGTAATTTTCTTTAAGTAAACACATGGGCCAGGCCGACTCGCATACTGCTAACTGGGCCTATTTTCCTAATTGGCACAGCCCATCTCTTCGTATCAGCCGCCCAGTGGTAAATATTATATTGTTATTGTTCTTAAAACACACGGAAGTTCTTCAAATGAAAGTAGATCATGCAAATTTCTCAAAAACTATGTTTTTATAAAAGATAATAGGTAGTTATAATAGTGTCCTAGACAAATTAAAATACAATTGCAATCTCTTTTTTATATTTGAATTGAATGAAGGAACAAGTGATGTCCAAGCCTGAAACAACATCACAATTAGTTTGACACCTATTAGAAGACTCTAATTTATTTCTAAAAAATGAAAAATACAATAATAAGTTTAGGTATCCACTCAAATGAGCCATAACAAAGCAATACCACATGAAACATATCAAAACATGTAAATTTTAAGAACCAGAGTGACAAACAGAACGAAAAAGCGTCAATTAGTGAAGAATGTGTTTAGCTCAAGCATCAAATGTATATTATCGAATCCCAACCAATGCAAACTTCTAAAAAGACTAGACAATTTCTTGAGCGAAAAAAGAATTAAATGCAGAAAATTGTCAGCTTTCTAAGGAGTTGTGCCCAGTCTCTAAAACAATAGAGATCATGTTTTAGGCGTCACTTTTCTTTTTCTTAACCCACAATTTGATGAATGAAGTCAGCAGATGATCATGGGCTCTAAATCTGCATTACTGCTTCTTACCTTTATCCCAAAAAATAAAAAAAATAAAAAATCAACGCCTACTCTTATTCCCTACCCAATAGATAGTATTAAAACCCAAATTTGTGTAAAAAAATTAAAAGAAAATTAAAATTTGATTAATGAGTAAAATTAAAATCACACATTATTTTTATAATAATGTACTCACTTTACATTCAATGGAACAAACCTTGATAAGCAAATCCTTAGCCAATAACCGACGACAAATCTTGCACCTGTTAGACACATGATCATCACCAGGCAACTTTTCCCAATTTTTCTGCGCTCTATCATAAGAGAAAAACTATTGGTTTTGAGTCAACCAAATAACTTTGTAAGTCATTGATCGCCAACAACAAATTTCCAACGTCTATTCTTTTAATCACGGTGTGATGTGAAAGTTTGCACACCTGATGATCAACCCGCCGGCCAACCCCAAAAAAAAAAAAAAAAAGCATCAAAAGAAAAAAAATTTTCTTAAGAAAAGCTAATAAACTGTAAAAAAATAAATAAAATAAAAAAGACTAATTACGTATTTTGATAACATCGTGTGTTGCGTGTAGATCATAATCTTCCATGCAATCTTCGCAGAATGGCTCGTCCATTTGCATTCTTCGACATGATGTTGTTAATTCTGTAAACCCTAATCTAACACAAGCTCGGTTGTGTGATTAAATTCTCAACCAAAACTATATATATATATATAATATGTATATGTACGTATGTATGTATAGGCTAATGTACTTATACGAAAACTAATAGGATTTTAATTTTACTAGCAATCTTCCTGGATATTTTTATCGTAATTAGAAGGAACTTTTAAAAGAACATACAACTTATGTTTGATTTCATGGAATCAGCCATTGAATTACCCAGTTCGAATCAAACTAGGAGTTCTATTAAGGGACATTTATTATTTTTTATCTTACATTTTGAGTTTATAAAAATACAAGTGTTAGTTACGTAAATAATTCTACGGCCTAGTTTTAATTATTTCTCAATTTATCTATTTGTTTTGAGAAACTACTAGGTATATTTTGAATTTGAAAAACTTATTTCAATCTCATCCTTACCATATTTTTGTGAACAAAAATACAAGGTGAAAACAAAAAGATACCCTTAATTAGACTGAATTTATATTTGAAAAAGAATCTATTTTTCTAGAAAAATTTTGAAAAATATTTTAACATTTAAAAATCATAAAATTTAAGAACTCTTTTCTTGAAATAAAATGATGTTTTTATTTTCTTAATGTTTTTTAACGTAGGAAATCTTTTTTCATAAACTATCAAGGGCATTCATGTCGTTTCGCTCAAATTTTTCCAAACAAGAGGTATGCGCGGGATAACAATAAAATAAAATATTCCAAATTCAAAGGATACCCGTGTAGTTTCTAAAAACAGAAGACAAAATGAGAAATAATTAGAAGTAAAAAGTATAACTTTGTAATCAACCCAAAAGTATATACCTTGTATTCTCTAGTTTCAGTATTTTTATGATTGTGCCATCAAATTATAATTCATGTTAAATTTATCTTTTTTTGGCCAACAAATAATTTTGACCAATTAATTCATAAATTAAGCCTTCATAATTTATGGATAAACCTGAAAATAAATAGTAATTGAAAATTTTATTCTATATTAGTTTGAAAATATAATTTTATGATTTTTATGTATTTTTTTTTCCTTCAACATGACGCGAATTAGTGTTTAGTTATAGGGTTATGTATAAGCTAAGAAAGGTATGTTCGTCTAAGGAACAAAATCAATTATTGGTTAAGAAAATATACAAATTTTACATGAATTTGAAATACAGAGGCACAATCTTTATAACAATTAAAAGACATTTTTGGTAATTAACTCAAAATGCAAGATGCATAATAGTAAATCACCCTTGTATTTATACATATTACTTTTCGTAGTCAATGTGAGATTTTTTTTTTTCTTTTCTTGAATACAAAGGGTCGTTAGTTTACTGCAATTATGCTATTTGAGCAAGAGATTCAACTGGGAATATAATTTTTCCACCAAATATTTATATCTAATGATCCGTTTGGTTCACGCGTTTAAATATGTGATTTTGATTCTGAATTCAAATTTCCTGAAAGAACTTATTGGCAGAAACTTTTTTTATTCAAATTTTTTGTGAGAGAAAATTACTGTAACAGAATCAAAATTTAGGTTCAAATGCATAAAATAAACAGACCCTTAGTGTTTTAAACATGAGCAACTACCAAAATGCACCAATGAAAATGTCAGATTTTTATAATAAATTTTTGTAATATAATTTCTATTGCTTATAGAAAGTAGGTTTTAAAATAGCAAAGTGTACCCTACAATACTAAATAGGGAAGTAAAAGTTTTAAATATTTTAATTTTGTTATGTTGCTGTTAAATGACAAACTTTGAAATCATATAAAAAAAACTTTAAATATTTGTCCGATATCAAAATTTTTAAATCTTAAACCTAAACTGACCAAACGAATAATAATTAGTTTGGTTTAATTTAATATTTATTTAAATGATCAAGCAATCCAAACTGCATGAAAAATTATTTCTATTTTGCTCAATGGTTTTTACTTAAAGATGACCAGACTGCAAAAAACCCTACTTAAAAGATTCTTATACAACAGAATAAGGCTTAGTTTGGTAGTGTTGTAGATTTTGAAAAAATTACTTTTAGCTGTGCTAAAGGAAGAAACAGATGTTACAAAAAGCAGCTGAGTGTTTGGTAAACTATAATTATAGTAGTTGTGCTGGTTCTAAAATTAGTGTAATAGCGTTTAGTAAATTATGAGGTTTTAAAAATTACAACTATATTATATTATACTATAATATAATATATAATTAGAATATAATATATATTTATTTATAATATATTATAAAATAATAATTATAATATCATATTATAATTATATTATAATTATAATATCATATTATTAAAATAATTATAATATTATTATAATATCATATTATATGATGAAATAATAATATTAGAGTTATTAATATAATTATGATATTATTTGTCACAATATTACTATTATATTATATTATATTATATTACGAGTCTGAATTTTAGATTGTGAATATTATAAATTTTAAATTTCATTAGGGGTATTATAGGTATTATGAAAATTTCATTAATTGTACTATGCTGATTCCCGCACAATTTAAAAGCTAAAGTTGTCTTTAGGCTGCTTCTGATTTTGACTGTAGATTCCTGAAAAATTCTTTAAAAAGAACTTTTAAGGAGATTTACCAAATACTAAAATCAGCTTGGGCTACAAACATGAGCTGATTTTGGAAGGAAAAAGCAATACCAAACTAAGCCTAAGATCATTTGGGGACATTTGTGTTAGACTATAAAATGTTGTTGGCCGATCTATAAGGTAAATAGAAGAGAGAATAGGTGCAACCATTCATACTAAAAATTGGGACATATAGCAATAGTACAATCAAATCTTTTAAACACCACTCCTAATTAAACTTGAGAATTCACTCTAAACACTAGTTGTGTAGGCCCTTATTTTGAGAAGTGCCTTACAAATTCATGGGTGCTCCCGATGGACGGGCTTAGGGACACATAAGTCGGATATTCAATTCCATTCATGAGAATGGAGGTACCCATTGGCATTCAACATACTCAAGAACTATCTAGTACAGACAAGGTTAACCAAAGAGCACTTCAAAACATAAGGTTCAATCTTAACCATCTTGATTTCATGATCAAGGAGATAAACCAAAGAATTAATACCATTAGGAAAGAATTTCGTGGCCTAGTAGATTTTATGTGATTTTAGTGGATTTTGTTTTTTTGTTTTTTTCAAGTATATCGATGAGAAAAATTTGTGGTTGTACGATTGGCAGTTGCCAATAATAGAAATTTTTTGGGTAGATACTGGTGATTATGACAAAAGTTGCCAAGTATCATGGTTGATATTAGCGGTTACTAGTTGGTGCCTGCAAAGTATCATAGTAGAGACAATAGGTTACAGATCGGTAATTACAAAGTATCATGGTGGATAGTTACTGGTTGGTATCTTAAATGTATATTAGGTATTTTAAATACAATGTTATGACATAGCATGACATTTTTTTTTGTTTTTTTTTTACAAACATTTTTTCTCATGGCAAGGCATATAAGTATGGCATTCTTGTAAACAACCCCTAAATTATTTCATTACTAATGAAAAAATAAATGAAAATTTTCACATTTCCCCCTCTCCAAACTATAGGCCATGTCACAAAATACACCACAAACTTTATTGTTAATTCCTCACTCCCTATGTTTTAGTAACTCAAATTTTCCCCTCTGTTAATTCTTAGCGCAAAAGTAACACGTATTACATAAATAATAAGTGTCGTTGAACAATTAATGCAGTCACACAGAAGTACAATCATGCAATAAGAATGGTTGTTTTTTTACTATGCATAACTTTCTCCTTAATTCGCTTGACCTAAGGAGCTTTAGAGGTTCACCAATGGTGAGAAGTAAGACTTTAATTGAGGGGAAAAATTTGTAAGAGTTACTGAAGTTCGAAAGGGAAAAAACTAAAATTAAAGTTTGGAGGAGCATTTTGTGACAATGTGATAATTTTGAGGGAAACATGAAATTTGTCCCAAAATAAAATGTCCACCTTTATTTACTTTTAATTAATATTATATCATTTTTAAGTATATTTTCTGCATAAAATGTAATTGATATATAATAATATGCAAATTATTATACGAACTATTAATATATAAATAAATACAAAAATTTTATTTCATATATAAATAAATACAAAAAATTTATTCTATAAATGTGAAGAGATAGTTTTCAGTTATGTTTTCAAGATACATTTTCTGGAGATTTTCATGATTCTCGTTGCAATAATCTCTGTTAATACAAACCGTAGATTTTCATTTTTGTTATTCTATATATAAATAAATACAAAAATTTTATTCTATAAATGTGAAGAGATAGCTTTCAGTTATGCTTTCAAGATATATTTTCTGGAGATTTTCACGATTTTCGTCACAATAATCTCTGTTAATACAAATCAGAGATTTTCATGATCGTCAATAGCAACAACGGAGATTTTCGTGAATCTCAATAGCAACAACAAATCTACCTATTTTTTTAGAACTTGATAATAGAACTTCTTTAACCGCAATTTCTCTATTTTTTAATTATCATATTTCTTTCTCATACATGCAAACTTTAGAATGAAGAAATTTCAAAGAGAGATAAAAAGGTTGAAAAGATGCGCGAAAAAGGGGCAGATGCCTCATTTTATAGGTGCGCATACTGTTGTAACTCACTTCCTTGTTTATTTAAAAATAAAAACCTCGTGAAACAAAAGCCCCCCCCTTTGTTGTTTTGCAGTTCAGTTGGAAATAAGTGTCCAAGTTCGTTCAACGTTTGATACAATTTGGCCGCCGTGTACTCCTAATTTTTGGTTAAAAAATGACTCCCTGTCCCGGTAGACCAAGATCCAGAGCCAACTTATTGGCAGTGCATCCGTAGAATCCCAATGCTTTTGAAGAGGACCGAATTGAGGATAGCACTATTGCTGATTTGCTCATACAAGCTATTGTTAGAAAAAGTAATACGGAAAATAATAATGAACGGAAATTGATAATACTGGAATTAGAGAAATATGGAAAGATTATATCAAAAATATAAACATAGAGAGTTTCTTTCGTAGCACAAGAAAAATAGAACTATTGGTAGTTTTTTTTTTTTTTTTTTTTTTTTTTTAAGCATTTTTCACCATTTAATTTTTTTTT